TTCTTCTTCCTTGGACCGGTATCGGATAAGAGCGACGAGGGGAACGAGGAGGGGGGAAGAGAGATAGGAAGGGTACGGAAGGAAAGGGAAGATGGTAGAAAACGGCAGGATACTCGATTCCCTTCGCGCTCGCTGGTTCGGCGCGGCGCGGAGCAGAGAGAGCTGGGAGAGAGATGATGCTAGGGGCAACTCTCGCTTTGTCCAGGAACCGGTCGACGTGCCTACCAGGAGGCAGGCAGGCAGGCAGGCAAGAAGGCAGACACGCATCGATCCGCCAATCGTGCGGCGGTGCCTTAAGCATGCTGCACAATGCCGACAATGATGAGAGCTTTCGGGGGAAGTGTCGTACGTGATCCATCTCTTTGTACTTTCTATTATTCGTCGCAATACTTTAATATCTTCTTACGTGTAATATTTGCACATATATCATTTCTATCGCACTGTCAAATTTTTTTTTTGCATTAGATTGTTCATTATTAATTTGAAATTGATTTTTTTTCCTTCACGGAAGTATTCTCGACACCAATGACATTGATATTGAATTTCGAGGAAATTGACGCATCAAATATTTCTATATCCTGAGAGAAATATTCCGCGTCAACCCTTCTAATCTGATCTCTAAAGTTCTGGAAATGTATCTGGCGCGCGAACAGTCGCCCTCGGCTATTGTTTCTTGTCTCTCGCATTCCTTTATGGTGTATCATAGATATCACAAAAAGGTGATCCTTTCCTACTTTTGATAGTTGGGGAAATTTTTATGTTTTTAGTTAAGAGAAGAAAATCGTGAGAAAGGATCGCGTGAGAATTATATAAAAAAGAAAAATTGGAGTTACTTTGTCTAATTTTTATCTATTCTGATGTTTAACTATAACAAAGAATGTTTTAATTTGAACTTACGAAGTACTCGATACACTGGAATACAATTGCAATAGGGAGAAAATATTCTTTTTCTTCGTTTTAATCAACGACAAAGAGAGAGAGAGAGAGAGAGAGAGAGAGAGAGAGAGAGAGAGAGAGAGGTTTGAAAGAAAGCACGGAGTCGAAAATTTACCCTTCTCAGCGTCCATAACATGATTTTCCTGGCGAGATCTCGCGGTTGTTTGTATCGGAAGGCATGCACGGCCATCAATCATGGCCCTGAAACAGCAATAGAGACGTTACGACGTAGTGAAGAGATATCGTATTCCTGTAAACGCAAAGTTCAATTCGAAATGGAGCACACTCGTCGAGATAAATTGTCTTTTGCTACACGGATTTCTTTTTACGTGGTAAAAGATACGAAATCTTACGTTCCTTTAGATGAAGTTGCTCTGGTAAGCAATATATTGTAAACTTTTTATATTTGATTCCGGATAACGCTCACGTTAGAATCTTTCACGCATAAAGTCTTTCATTTCTTTGAATAAAATATCTTCATATTAGACAAATAGATCTTTTATATATAAAAAATATACAGTTATTTATTTATTAAGAAATTTTATATCAAATTATACAATTCTATCATAAGATGCACAGAAGACTGATAAGGAATAACTTTTTATTTTTTGTCGCGAAATTTATATTTCATAAAATTTGATTGAAGCGTGTTTTTTTTTTATTCATTCAGATATACGAGGCAAAACGTTACGATATAAAAAGCAAAACGTTATGAGTGCCATTTTTGAAATTTTTCAGGAGAAAGGAAAAACTTATTCTCTTGAAAACTATCACTTTAAAAATTCCGCGAAAAATTACCGGAATAACTAAAAGATATGAGCAATCAATCTCTGCACACATTTTTAATTAAGCAATTCTAATTTTTAAAAGATCGTGTTGAAATTATTAAAATTTTAAAACGTAAGTTGTCCAAGTAAAAGTGTCAATTCCACAATGAATTTACAACGTTGTGAGTTGTATCACTCTTTTTTCTTCGCTCGCAGCAGCACTTTTTACAGATATTAGTATATGGTAGAACCCAACACTTGCAAGCTATTCATAGAATAAAACACATTTTCACAGTTAACAATGTTTTGCCGTGGTTTGCCTCACATATTTATAATGTCAAAAGTTTTCGACTAAATATTGTAATTTTATTGTATAACAAATCTTAATAAATAAAGAGATCTAATCGTATACTTAATATGTTCTAATATTTAAAATATCATATTTTTAAGTTTTAATATTATAACAAGAATTTTATTAACTTACAAACAGAAAAACAGATTGACAAAAATTATCGTAAAATTATTATATATGTTAGTCGAAAACTTTTGACAGTCACTGCCAAAATTTTAAAGAATTTTCAAAGTATAATGAAAACAACTTCTGTTGCTTGTAATTCGAAAACTATCAACGTTTCTATGTCGAAGCAAATAACTCTTTTTCGTATATTCGTCGTCATTATATGGCTTTCGTAGTTACGGTATATCCGGCGTATCCTTCTCGACGCTTCAATTATCAAACGGTAATTATGCGTCACGAACACTATGGACTCCACAGTACCCTATCCCACTTCGTATCGCGGAATCGAAACGTCGAGCTTCTGATAATTCAAAGGGACCGATGTGTTCGCTCTCCAGTCTTTGATCGCGATCGATCGATCGGAGCTTCAGCTTGGTTGCACGCGGTTAGGAGTGGCAGCTCTCAAACCGATACTCACTTTCAGACAATAGATAATTTGACGCGGCAGAAGGCACGAGGATAATTTTGTCTCGTGTCTACGACATTGAGGTACGAAGCCATAAAATTTACAACCGTCTCAAATCTTGGTTTCAGGTTCTCTTTCAAAGCCAGTTTGAGTTCTCGCAATCTCTCTTTCTTTCTCTCCTTTCCCTCTCTCCTTTTGCCTCTCTCTCTCTCTCTCTCTCTCTCTCTCTCTCTCTCTCTCGACTTGCATACCGCGTCAGGTTCGCGGCAGGGCAGCCTCTACCTGCATTCCAATCTACCCGGTCGACCTCATTCCGCCATTATACTATTTCGTTCGGTCTCTCGACTATCTTGCGTTCCCTCAAATATCGTTTATTCGCGCGAGAGTGAGTTTTCGGAACCGAATTATGTCACACGACGTCGCGTCCTGTCCCTGACATTGCACTTCCGATTCGAAGTTTGTTCCTTCGATATTTCCGCGGCATTCTCGGTCACAACAAACGTAATTCAGTTTTGTACCTGTGATTAACATTTACTTTTCTTTAGAGAAGAAAAAAATGATTCGGTATAAAATACAAACATCGCTAGTCGCGAAGTCACTTAAATAAATTAAATTAGTTTGAATTCTTTTTAAATGATGCTGGCTTTTATATTGAAAAAGAAAGAAAGAAAATTTCTGTCGCGAATAAGGGTCAATCCTTCGTAAGCACACATAGCAGAACTGCGGAACTCTTCTTTATTTTTATTATATAAGGAACTGTAGAACTAGACTTAAAAAATAAAATGTCGTTCTAACTTCACAGATTCATATAAGTTTGGATTGCGAAGTTAGCATGCTTTTTTTATTAAAGAAAATAATGACAGTTCAAATAGCACTCTCTCTCGCTATTTCTTTTCAGTTCGCTCTTTCTAGTTATACAGTTTCTTATAAAAATAAAAAAAAGTTCTACAATTTTTATCTACTCCGTAGACACACTGAGTCGTTTTTATCTAGCCTAATTTTTTTAATGTTCTAGACTTCCAAAAAATCCAGAAAGATTCAGGGTTACGTTTCTATTCATCTCCGTTACATTATCAGATAATTATTAAACTCAAATGTTAAAATTTTTATTTAATAAAAATTGAAATTGGTGCTAAGAAATTTGAGAGTGAAATATCGCCTAGATAAAAAAAAAGACCCACTCTTTTAATAGTGCAGAGATGAGACCACCGAAGAAACGCAAAATTCCAACTATTAACTTTTGGTAGATGTGTTTTTTTAAATAACCTCGATATTAAATTGTCCGATATCGTTCGTTTTGTAAGTAAAGTCTTCCGGTAGCGATTGGCTATTCTGCGTAATGGACCCACTCTCTCTGTCTCCTGGCATTATGACATCGACAATCGTATTCATTATGACCGATTCGATCACTGTCAGCAGCAGGCAAGTAGATACCATCGAGAACTGTATATCGATATTCATTATCTATTACGTTATCCCGAGCGATCGGGTGCTCGGTCATTCGCCAAATGCATTCGTATACGTCATAAATCAACTGCTGCGAAAATATTAACTCTCTCGACCGCACACGTGACACGGATATTTCACGATGAAGCGATCGCACGCGTGTTACTTTACACCGCGTTACAGCGCGATTGCAGTTTTACTTTGGACGTTGATGGATCGGTATAACTCGGTGACGGATTATTCGCTCGATGGCCGTTGTTTCGATAAAAATTTTTCCTTTTCAAAAGGCCGGCCGATCAGTATTATTTTAATCCGCGACAATTAAACGGACAGTGAAATATTATTCGGGCAGTAAGGAAATATAAAATCATTCAGCAATGAAGAGAATATATATGTACAATAATAACAATGATAAGACAAATATTATCCATGATGTTCATGATAAATATCGATAAAGTAATTATTAACTATGAGATAAAATTACAACCCGATTAAATTTGCTTTAATATATTAATTAATGTCCCAATTAATATATCCTGAAAACATCGCAGACACATAATTTGATATTTTATCTGAAATATTAAATTTAAAATTTGCATCGTGTAAATGAATATTTTCATTTTATTTATTTATGGATATTTAAGCTTTCAAAAAATAAATTGCAACTCTTTCACTAAAGTTTAAGACCTACTGTATTCACATTCGTGACGTTATCGAAAACGTTTACATTTAGCGTATCAAAAATAAAATTATTAAATGGGTTAAATGAAGTGATTACTTGTGAAATTAGACCTGTTATACGGGTGCGACGTAACGACACGGAGAGGAGAATCACCTGTTAATTGCTAGTCGCTGGTATATGTGCGACACAACTGAACATAATGCAAGCTATGATAATCGATAAATTCCTTAATGAGCCATCCAATAGATACGTGATCACCGAGCTGCTCCAGAGCGACTTGCACAAGATCATCGTGAGCCCACAGCATCTCAGCCCGGACCACATCAAGGTCTTCCTTTATCAGATCCTACGAGGTGAGTTACAGCAGCTTTAACATATCACGTTCTTTTTATTGCGCGTGTAATGATACGGACGGGAATTTTTTAAAACGAAGAAGCCGAAGAGTACAAAGGTGTATCACGATGTGCTTTTAAAATTTATAGCAGCGTATTTTAGCGTAACAATATACTTATGTGCTTATATAGATATTTATTACGTTATATTATAATTTTTTTACACGGAGTGGTGCATTTTTAATGTCAATCTTAAATTAAATATAGTGAAAAAGTGCAATATAAACGGAGATAACTAGTAGGTCAGCTCGATTAAAACATAATGCGCGTATTCTTGTCGGGAAATGAAAACCTATAAAAAAGACGAAAGTACGAAGGGATGAGAAAATTCGAAGTTAGAGCTCCCGGGAAGCTGCCGGCGAAGATGCCGGTCCAGTCTCTCTCTTGACGATCTCTCAGGAGTCGTTGAGGTCGAGATTTCGAGATAGTCTACCAGGTAGGAAGAGGAGGAAAGGTGGCGAACAGGATATGGGGGTTGGGTGCGAGAAACGAGAGATGAGAATGGCGAAGGACGAGGGAAAAGTCGGCGGTTATAAAAATCCACGAGCGGCATATTGCCTCCGTCGCCGCGCCGTCCTCGGGCGATGGTTAGATAGGGGGTGGCGGAATGGAGGAGGTTGGGTGTCGGTGGGAACAGTGGGGGCGGCAGAACTGGGATAAACAGGATCGTTTCTATTCATCCCTCGGGATCATCTCGGGATCTCGACGCTCCTATATCGTCCTTACATTGTCTGGCTTGCCGAATTACTCGTTTCCTCCCCCCCCCCTCCTCCCCTCTTCTCCATCGCTCTGTCCCTTTCCCTGGACTTGAAAAATGTTCGTTCGCCCTTTTCGTAATTCTCATTTGTCTTTTTCTGTTGGTCGCTCCCGTCACTATTTTCCGCCTTCCATAAAAAAAAGCAACGCTATTCTCTCGCGACTCATTTTTTTCATGTGATTGAAATTTGATTTGTTCAATAAAAAAATTATACAAAAGATAAAGTTTCGTATTCGTATCAGGAATTCTTATAAAAGTTGTGTTAGTGATATTATTGTTAAAATTTAACGCGACAACATTAGGACATGAAGGACCAACGCAATAAGACAAGTGTAATATTTACAGTTTTATTCTCCCTCTGTGGAGATATGAAAACCTTGAGATTCTTCTATGCGTTAGAAGTTGCATATTGCACCGTTGAGCGTAATTTTAATCAAAGGCACAGCGAGCGTGATTACATTTCATGGATGCGGAATTTTATTAGAAAACTGCCGTTCCTTTGTATTCCCTGCAAGCACGATTTGGCTATCCAAAAACGCGGGATAAACATCTCTCTCATCGAGCGAGCGAACGAGACAGAGAGAGAGAGAGAGAGAGAGAGAGAGAGAGAGTGTGCAGATCAAAAGGTGCGCTGGATTAAAAGAGCTCGACACGACATAACACGGGAATAAAAAAAAAAGACATCGCCTGAAAATGAAATTCCACTGTGATAATAGACAAATTTGAAAGTAGCTGTACTTATTATATGTTAATGCTAAAAACTTCTTAGTTAAAATCGCTTCTCGGATTTTCCGCTTTAGTCAATATTATTTTTAAATAATTCGAGAAATTATGTTTTAAATATACTATAATACATTATATTACACGAGTGTCAATTTGAGAAATTAATTGGATTCCATATGAATGGATTTTGTTATGGTTCTTGTTTTTTCCCTGCTTCATATAAAATAAAGATAACAAGATAACATAACCCAAATATTGTATAAAATATTTAATAATTCTTTTATATTTTCATTTTCAAGAGATATTAAATCGGGATACGTGATGAGGCAATTATTTACGACGGACACAGTTGCAGATTTTTGATTGAACGTGGAAGGAATGGCAGCAGAGAAACAGAGAACAGGAGAGAAAATCATCCTTTCGTACGATCGATTTTGCTTATATTGCGACAGAATGTGGCATTGGATGAGATGAAATGGCCGATAGAAAGAAAAAGAGCAGAGAGAAAATGGGATAAAGATGGAAAGAGAAGAGAAAAGAAGAAAAATGAGAGACGAATTGCAGCGCACTAAATTCGTTACCCATCCTTCTCTCTTTGCATATACAGCACTTCTGAACGATATTAGAGCACGTCTTATGATTTACCGCGTGGGCGATAAATAAATTCTCGCTGCCGATTGAACCGCTTTTCTAATTCCAAGCATTGCGATGTTCATGTTGAGATGTTTACGAGAATTCGCATAACGTTATATATTGCAATCATAGACGGAAAAGTCGGCGTTTGCAAATAGAAAATACATTCTATCTAGTTGCAGTCAAACAAATCAAAGCCAGAGGCACGATGCTATTTCTCTTGCTGGATAGCACGTGATCTAGTAAATTGGTAGAAATTCTGCGGTGCAGTTTTAGTAAATTTACTAAAGCGCCTCTGTGTGGTTTAAGATCGAAAATAAACCAATCTGGGATAAAAAAAAATCCAATTTAGAAATAAATAAAAAATACGTCAATTAAGAAAAGAAGAAAATTTTTGTGTGCCACTGTGATGATCGAATTACAATTGATTCTCTCGCGAATGTATAGTATATCTTTCTGCGGCCGAGTACATCTTTTAGCTTCTATTATAAAAAAATGTAAAAGACATGGCGAACAGGCGCAAAGGGGGTAGCCACGTTAATTCATCATTCGTCGTGTCATCACTTTTGTTTCTCCTTCAGCCGGTTGTTTTCAAGGATAATTTGTCACGACAGGTTCCGCCGCATCTCATGCTTTCCCCTTCTTCTCTCTTGCCACGAAGGATGCAACTTGAATCGCGCGATAGCAGTGAAGGCGAAGGAGAGCTCGTGTTCACCCTTCGCTTCCGCTCTCGGCTCCGAAAAGAGCAGAAAGGAGGTTTGTGGCGCAACTAGTGCAACGCGAACGCAACGCGAGAGAGCAACTGGATCATTATGCGCTGGCCATCGTCGCGAATAGTAATTTTTCCCCGTTTTCTCATTATTAAGATCTTTCTAATTTCGTCACGGCGACGTCTTCGTCTTGTTTTTCTTTTCTTCGTTTTTTTTCTCTCTCCTCTCGTGATGAGATAGTTACTTCTAGAATTACTGTCTTCGATACCTCCTGAGCAAGCACGAGAAGAAATGGTGTCTCGATGTAACGTAATGTGATTGGAATGACTCTCGAGGCGAAATTGCGTTGCGAGTCATGTGAAATTATCTTGGAGATATCAGGGATTTGTAATGTAGATAACGAATGAATCGAGTAGTGCGGAGAAAAAGAAAACGATTTAAAAAATTCAGTGTGATAAAACAATTGGCACAATTAAAGTAGAAAATCTTGCACGTAGGATGATGTGATAAATATGATATTTTTTACTTAATTAAATTCAATGCTATACGAATTTTATATTATTCTTAATATAAATCCCGAAACTCTTGAACTAGAATTAATTTATACATCCCAACACTAATAATATTTTTCAAATAAAATTATCACTGAAAATTTAAAAATATCTAAATATCCTTTACGTTCGTTCTGAAACTTGAATTTATACTTATATTTCTAGCGTAGCGTACAAATCAGAATCAAATGGTTGAAATAATAATGCAATCGCTATTAACGCATTTGCTCTGGACATTTTTTTTATCGCGCATTTGCTGCAGGACAGCGACATCTCTTGATAAGCGCTGCTAACGGATCTTGTCGCGATTTTCCTTATTCTATAAATTTCCATGTGGAGTCCCAAAAACGAAAATAAATATTTGTCAATCCCGGTTGCTGTCTTAGTCGTGTTCATGGATCGACGTCCGTTCGAATCAGATCCGAGCCTTATCCTCTGAATTCGTTCAAGCTTCTGCGTGCTTCAGTGGTACATATCTCAAAGACGCATCGCAAACTGGAAAACTGAGCAACACACATTTTCGACATATCCGACATATCTGACGTATAAACATGTCCGTTTACTGCGAGTTGCGAATCATCGATCGCAATGTGTAATTTTCAGCGTTTTGGCTTGAAGCTTCAGAATTAAACTAAGATAAAAGACATCGCAGCGATACAGGAGAGGAGGGGAGACTTGATTAAATACTGACTCAATTAAATACGCAACATTTCAACACTTTTTTAAATATTTTATCTAAGATTTATTTTTTATTGTATTTTTTTTTAATACAAAAAAAAATTAAAAAGGATGATCCTTCGTGGCACGACTGCCTATATCGATAATATTAAGAAGTAGGAGGAAAGGACGATGATTCTCGTTAACGAAATCCTGTGTGATGATCTGATCTTCTCATGTTAACTTGTCGCCGGTCCGTTTCGAACTTTCCCACCCAGTATAACGCGATGCGTAAAGCTCGGACAAATAGAACAGAAAACAGCTCTTCTCTTGACTGGTCCGAAACCAGTCCTGCCGCTGCTCATTCGTGACCCCGGATCCCGTCATCCGGTCGGCTCTGGCTTCTTCTCTAACTACCTCACCACCTCCTGCCCCTTCGCTCTGCGTCCTCCTACCTCCTTCCTCTGCTCCCTTTGCCGGTCGCGACGTTTTAATTAAGGAGCAATATCTTTTTGAAGAGAAATCGTGGCGTTTCTCTTTTTAATCTACCGAGAAGACGGATACCAACATTGTGTAACAACAAATCGATGTCTTGCAACAGGAACAATCGATACCGTTCTGTAGAGCGAAAGCGGAAGGAAGGGAAATGTATATTTAAATGGATAAATAGTATCGGAGGATTTAGCGAAGAATTTAATTCAATTTCAAGAACTGCATGCATTGTAAAACTGCTCAAGCGGATCTTCCTTCTGTATTACGTATTCTTGAATTAATTGATCTAATTCTGATTGATCGATTTTGTTAATTTCATTTAAACATCAGACTTTTGGCCAATCATTAAAAATGCAGCATTAAAAAATTGAAAAAAGAATGCGGATGTAAAAAATACGAAATACTGAACTGTAATTACGATATGCAAATCTTTATTTC